AAATGGTGAGGAAAACTAATAGTTTGCCATGAGGGATTTCAGTGCATAGCCACTGAGGCAAGGGACCCAGCATGGCAGATCTTGACACTGATTTTGGGCTTAGCTCATCTCTGTTGCTTGCAGGCAACTCATGCAACTACATAAAATGCAGAATATGGGTGGTATTGGGGCAAATTGCTACAGAAAACCCCTGCTTTCATCACCAGTGGCTCTCCAAACCCCACGGCTGGCCTATTTTCATGCTCAGCTCGTGAATTGTGTGGTGACCAAAGGACCGTTCCCAAATCACTGTAAACTTGCTGTTAGTAAAAGGAGCACATTAACACTCTGGCTATAGTTTTAAAAGGTTTGTCTGTCGTGTGGTACCACATGCAAAGGTTTGAAATGCATCTTTATTGCCTACATCCAGTGCAGAGCCTGAAAGCATTTCAGCTTCACTGAAAATATATGTCCTGTAGCTTAAATATTTGTGAACTGTTGTCTCTTAGAGCCACTTGAGAAAGCTTTATAAAAGTCTAAACGCCATGTTATGCTGCTAAAGAGGTCCCTGTGTAATGGATATTTTGGAGCACAAATAGAACAGTTTTTCATGTTTTGTTTAAGCATTGAAAGCAGGAGAGGGACAGATCCTCAGCTGGTGTATATAGTTTCTCATTGTGGGCCATACTGGAGCCTTGCTAGGCTGCACAAGCCAAGAATAGCACTTGGTGTATTTTTGAATATTATCTTTCATGCTTTGTATGGTCCTTTGCAGTGTAATGACTGCCGATTTGGAGCATTAATTGCATGATTTTCACAGAAACAGAGTTGGAGTTATGTTTGTTATTGTTTTGATACAGTATCAAAAGGGAAGTCTTTTATTAGCATTTTTAATACAGCCATTTGTAAACATCCAGCAGATAAAAATTGCCAGTCCAATCCTACTAATGAAGCCGTTGGAAAAGTTTCCTTTGACTTTAACAGGAGCTGGAATTAGTTCAATATAGGCGATATTCTCTAGTGTAATTGGTCATGAATTACTGTGTTTTATATATTGAACGCTTTTTGCTGGACAGTGCATTGGCTTTTTATGATTTGGTGACATACAAATAAATGATTTGAAAAGTCAACATTGGTACCTTGGTTTATTGTGCTTGGTTTATTGTGCTCATTTCCTCATTCCATTCCTCATTTGGTCCTGCTACTGTCTACTTCTTGTCATCTTCAGGAACACGACTTGTTTCTCTTTAGGGGTGGGCTTGACTATCCTGAAGCAAGAAACTAATAAGAAATAAGTCCACTTGTCCATTTTTTTAGGGGTTTCTGAGCTGGCAATATCCTTTTTTGTAGTCATACACTTCAGCTCCTGTCCTTGCTTCCAAATGGCAAAAGGCAGAAGTGATGATTAAACCTGCTGCTCTGGGCTGCTCCGGGCTAGCAGGGTTGGAGAGGTGGAACAGAGAAGGAGAACCAGAAGCAGAAGCCTTTGGTATTGCCTGTTACTAGTGCTCATGCTAGGTGCATTAAAAGGTTAATACAGAAAAATCTAGTGTTGTTTCACTGTGTTCTTTCTTATCTTCTCCTGTTGCGGGTGTACGGATAGGTCTGCTCGTGTAATCGGGTGCTGCTGATGTGCTGAGCCTCCCTGGGCAGGGTGCTGGCAGTGCCCTCCGTTCCCGCTGCAGGGATGTGCTGCACGCTGCCGGGCAGCAAGCGTCCCATGCTCCTGTGGTCTGCTGATTTCTGTTATGCCTGAATTTAATATCCACTGCATAGGGCATACTAAGCATCACCTCTACCCTTGCACTCTTAGGCCCTCTCGCTAGCCCCTTTCCATGCACAGAGCTCTTTCTGCTGTCCTCTGACCCTCTGACTCTTGCCGCTTCAGATGCTACTCCTGGGAAGGCCACCTATCCTTTGCGTGCTTCAAAAATTGCATCAGGAGTCCTCTACAACTCTTTCTGTCCTTTGAAGCATAATCCTCAAAATTTCCAGTCCATCTTAAATAACTGCTCAGTCCTGGTTGTTTTCAGGTCTCCTGGTTTCTAAAGGGATATACCTACTCTGGCACCAGATTAAATTAATGTGAACATCCTGACTGTTTGCAATAAATTATTCACTCCCTCTCCTTTGCTTCCCTTTATGAGCAATTCTCTGGAGCTGTATTGAAGGGAAATATTAGCCAGCATGGTCAATAAAGGAAATGTTACCCAACATGGCCAATTTCACGTAATTTTAGAGCTATTCTTAGGTCTTCCACATGAAGCATTGAAGAAGAGGAGTCCAGCTCACAGCCATAAAAAAGGATCTGGTGATGGATAAAGAATAGGAAGAAGGGGCAAAGGGATAAAAATTCTGAGATGGTTGCATGCATAAGAGGGGAAAGGACGGATGTGTCATGAGTTCTAGTGTAAGCAGAAGATAAAGTTTGCAATTAGATGATTAGGCATGCTCCAGCAATTAAATGCAGATCAGGAATCAAGTTTTTTTGGTCCTATTCCCAGCCTTGTTCTTGTCTTGCTTCATTCACCAATATCCATAGATTTTCTCAGCTTCATTTTCTTCATCTGCAAAATATTACCTCAGGGATAGGGTTAACCTGTTATATATTTCAAACATTCTGGTCATGCTTTGAATTGGTTTTGACTTTCTGCAATCTTCCGCGTATCTGGCTGACTTCAGCAAACAGTCTGACCCAGGAGACCTTGCAAGGCCATGGCCTGAATTCAGCAGACAGCTCAAGTGCTGCTGTTGCTGATGTCCCAAACTGTCCCAATCAGAGCCTCAGCAGAAGCCAAGAATAGCTGTTGCTCTGTTTAATTTCCCTGACAGCCCTGATGCAAGAGGCTTTCTCATGGTATACCTCGCTCACACTGGTAAAATTTGCACCCCAGCAAGGTCCGTGGGCTCTTTTTTTTCATTTAAACCAGGTCTGGGAAGGGTGGTCCCAGGGTCCACCTCTTGGCAAGCAGTGCAGGAAGGTAAGCCTTCATATGCGTTTTGAGCTCTGTCCTCATGATCAGAGCTCTAAGAGGAGATCTCATTTCCTTGTGAGCTCAGTCCTTTGCTTCCTTGTTATGAAATGCAGTGAATTTCAGGGGTTGCACTGCTCCTGCAAAGGAAGCCTCCTGTTTTGAAGGTGCTAGCTACAGACATGTCAGTCCAGCCGAAAAAGGAAGCCCACTGACTTGCCAGAAGGTTAAAAGCACGCACATTAAAAAGACCATAAACATTAAAAAATTAGAACAAAGGTTTTGATGACCCGCTTGCCCTATGAATACAGCATTCCCAATTTTTCTATCAGAAAGCGACCAGCACAAGTTTAAAATCTTTCTTCTTTATTATCTAAAAAGAAAAGCTGTGATGGGGTGAGAGGGAAGGGAAACAATGGTGGAACTTACCCTGGATTCTCGGGATACATGATGGGCTTGTGCAAAGAGCCATTGAGCTAAATGCCTCCTGCAGCAATCTGGTTCCCAAACTGACAGCTTGGCATGTACAACTGCTGTGGGCCTTGGACATCTCAGGATGAGCATGAGAATGGCCTTGAAGTGACCTCTTTTTATCTCTGATCCTGCAACTTTTTGGATCAATTTTCAATCAGATTGTTGTGCACTTTCTTCTTGGGTGCAGCTGCATATTATGTTCCTGTTTTGTCCTTTGCCTAGTTTAAGTCTGTGGGCAGCTTGGGAGAGGATTTTAGTGGCAGAGAAATATTGCCCTCTCTTTTTGATAAAGTCAGTAAAAAATAAAGCACCAGATTTCCTTCTGTTTGGTTGGTTGCAATGGCAGGGGAGTTCGGGACATTGTATTGCAAATGTCACTTCCATCTTCTCTGCTGTGTGTTCTGTCTTCCTTTTTTTCATCTTTTGCAGTTTCCGATGTCATCCTTATCATAAAGAATAAAACCAAGCATGCATCATATTCTTTATTGTCACTTGAAAAGAATTTTAAAAGGTGCTGATGATATTTTTGTTAAGGAAAAAACAAAGCAGAGAAAACTGCTGTTCATAAGCTTGCATGTGCTTGCTCTCCTCTCAGATGATCAGGGCAAGGTTCCACATTTATTCCATGGGCTCCATTAAAATGATTTCCTTCAGAGAGGTGCACGGAATGTTCTGGTAATGGAGGGATAGTAGGGCTATATCCCCCACATCTGCATAAACAGTCTGTGCTACCATTATATAAGGCCTTGAACACAATCTGTCTAAATGCAAGCGCTGTCATAAACCTTGTAAGCTCCGTTTGTGGGGTTTATGGACTGAATCAAACACAGAGGATTAAACTACTGATTTGATAATTAACCTGGGATGCAAGGCTGTTGTGCATGATATTAGGCAAATACACGATTTATCATTTAAATTAGTTTTCATGCACTTTTTCACACTTGGGAGTCAAGTGAAACACTAAGAAACAGTTTTTGCCCGTTGAGGCAAAAATGCATGAAGGAAAAAGAAAGACATTTGCCAGGATTTTACTAACAGTCCTTTCACAGGTGTAGAAATATAACAAATTTGCCAAGCCTTTGGCCACAGTAGGAGCATTTGTGCACTAGTTCAGCTTTATTTAAACTTTGCAGAATTACTTTTAGGAGTCTTGAGGAGAAAGACGGTTTGGTAGTTAATGCCTTGACCTGAGACTCCAGAGACATATCTCAAGAGCTTGCTGCTGCCTGCATGTATGAATTCAGTGAATTTCTCTATCTGCTCCTGCTCCTCAGACATACGATTTGTAACCTCTTTGGGGGACAAAGTCAAGATGCTTGTTCACTGTCTTGGATGAGGAAGCCCAAGTTTGGCGAGACCTCTAGTTACTACCGTGATGACACAGTGACGACAAAAGAGAAAGGAGACCAAGTGACTGAGGGAAGAGCATTTAACAACGGGGTTGTTTTATCCTCAAGGTGGATGTTCACGCCTTCCCTGACATATGGCTGGAGCAGACTGGGTATTTTTTGTGGCTGGTGCTGGTGAGCAGTGCTCAGAGATGTTTGTCAAGCCTGCTGTAGCTGGAGAAGATTATTACTGCCTCGTAAACCAAGTCCAGCATTTCTGAGCAACGTGTCTTATCTGAACAAAGAAGATAACAAGTTGGGATTGAAATTCTTCCAGGACTTTGAAATCTTTCTTCATGCTGGTGTAGTAGAGACTCACAGCCAGGATCAGCATGGCACAAAATGAGAGCCACATGAACACAGGCAATCCAGATGATGACCTGTCATGTACTGAAAAGGGGTGGGGAGGAGAAAGAAAGCAGCATTATTTTAGTGTCATCTGAAACACTTCCCAATTTTGACCCCCTGCTGATGTCTTTGTCCTGCTTTTCTGGGAACAGCGGGATACACAGGGCTCTGGTTGTGAAAACTTCAGAAGGCATCAGTTAAGTGATAGTGAGTCACACCTCCTGATGGAGGGTAGTGAATATAAAAGATCTCATCTAATGGAGCATTACAAGAGTTTAATTATATACAATAAGAATGGGATTACCATAGATAATGCATAATCTCAAGTTTCCTTCCAGCAATTATTTTTATACATTTAAGCTAAACAATGGGTTAAATACTAGAAGTATATTAAGCAACCACATCTAATTATTTGATGCTCACAAATGTTCCGTACAGAGAGATGTAGATTTCTGTCCTTTTCCCTGATAACTCAGCTTGTTTTGGGCCCCTGCTAATTACAGCAAGAACCAAGGTGAGAATCTATTAACCGAGAGGCGCATTTAGAAAGCCCTGGCAGGTTTAACCTCTCTCTCTAAGAGCTCAGTGTGCTAATTACACTGGAACGTCCTCTGCACTTGCTCTTAAGCAAGACAGCATTGTACACATTTTATTCTAGCCTATTAAAATATAATTCAAGGATGTTTAAAGTGCCCTAGGTCAGGCACAGTACAAGTGTGGAAATCAGTGGGCTGTGTTTAGCTCTCTGGCTTCCATGCAGCCCTAAGGAGTGATTCTGATGGAGATTTCGCTCCCCTTTGTCCCCATCCCCTCCCCTCTCAGCTAACCTAGGCAATTTGAGAATAACTGTGGACTGCTTCCATGATGGGAAAATACTGATTGCTTCTAGCTCTTGGTCCCCTAGCCAGGGACTTCCCACTCTACATTGCTCTGCATTGCTCATGCTCTTGGAAGCCGCTCCAGAGAGCGAAACGGCTGCTCTGCTTGGCTGCATGGTCGTTGCATGATCAGTATTATTTTATAACACACTTTATGTGTTAAATATGCAGCATAAAACCAAATTCATGCCCGAATAAAACCCCATATCAGGCAGCTTTCCTGCCATATGCATATAATCAATAAAAGGATAAAAATGTGGTGGGTATTTTCATGGGTAAAGGGTCAACAGTAGCTGTAACATATTTAAATTAGCTGCTATTTACCAGCCCTGCAATACACAGCAGTCAATTAAACTGTCATACAGATGTACAGAGAAGAAGGTAGAAGTCATAAAACTGAGCAAGAAACACATAATAATGTATCAAAAATGTATGGGGAAAAGGTAGAATGTTAATAGGCATTCATTTTAGAGCTAAACAGGAACCAAATCAATGTCCCATAATAGAGTCGAGTGAATTATATGCAGCAAATAATTTATTCATTTGAATTTAAGCCCTTCTCTCTGTTTGCAAGTTAGCCATGAGCAGACTTCAAATTTTATAAATTTGTTTATTTAAAATTATTCTCTGAATGGCTTATACAAAGGCATTTAGCCAGGAATCACTTACTTACACTTTTTGCTTTTGCTGAGATCTGGAATTTGGAGATAGGTATTTCCCCTTTGCGGTCTCTCAGACCCCACGACATGGCTGGTGGTTCTCAGCTGGGTGCCTAGCTGCCTTTCAAAAGGCAGGACCTGATAAGCATAGCTCATAACAGGGCAGGTTATCTGCAAATGCTGAGCAGTTTTCAGCATCAGCCCTTTCCTGTGAAATGCTTATAACCTGTTTCCGTCTCATGGATGTTACTTTCCATGTAAAATTTCTGTGATCTCAATTGCAATCATCATCTTTTCTAAATTGCCAATGCAAAATCAAGAATTAAATTCACCATTTTTTTTTTACTGTTAGAACAGGACACAGCTCTAGCCCAGTGCCTGGGCTAAAAAGAGGACAACTCATTTGTGGGAAAGGCACTGGAATGGGATAATGGCGATTTTTATTTAGTTGCATGGCTAAACAAAACATTGGCTATGCGTTTTTGCTGCTACCTGAGGCAAGTCGTTAGCGGTAAAGCTAACTATGGCTCTGTGTGTGTATACACATATATATGTATCCCCTATCCTCTTATAGCACCACATATCATAGGGCCTGGAGGTTGGCTGGGGCCTCTGGAAACGATCATCATAGTAATAACATCCATATACACACATTTCCTTGAGGGTCTGTGAGGCTGGCTGGCCTCAAACATTCTTTCAAATAGAAATAAGAAACATATTATTGTTATTATTTCTACCCTGCTGCCAGCATACAAATGAATTGTCTATTCCCAACACATGAAAGTCAGCAGGGAGCACTTCTGTTTTGCTTGGGGTGCTTTCCCTGAATATCTTAGTGAAAAACCTGCACCTATTTTATTGCCATAAAAATATTAATTGTCTTTAAATTAAAAATAGCTTCAGGGATTTAATTTTTGTTTTCCCTATTTGTCTTACTAAATGTTGTGCTTAATATACCCTACCAGACCTCATCAACTGCTTGTGCTTCATGTGCCAAAATAGAAAAAGCAACCCCCGGTGCCAGCATGAAGTGCTTTATATTTCAGGGGTGTATTTGCATAGCGCATCCCTGCAGCCACGAAGCAGCCTCAGGTTAGCACTGAGGATGGCTCACAGTCATCAAGCAAAACTGCAACTTACCCACTACGTAGTCACAGCAGGAAATGGCTAGAAAAGAGAATGAAAAGGTTATTACAAGCCTGGAAAAAGCCCCCATGCGGCAGGTGAATAGGAAAGCTAGCAGACTTGGTGGCTGAGTGGCATCTCTGAAATTGCCTGTTGCCTTACGGGCACCAGGCCACTTCACACACTTCTTTTGGCTGCAGAGGTTTGTGCCAGAGGCTGGATTGAAGATTTAGCCATGCAGATGCATGTCAGGAAAGTGAAGAGCTTCTGTATGAGGGATTTCAGAGAGAAAGACTGCTTCTGTTTTAGGGAGATCAGGAAACGTCTAACTCTCACCTAAAACTCAACAAAACAAAACAAAAACACAAGAAATTTTCTTATTCTGAATCATTTCTAGAAGGGAAATGAGACAGACCAGGTGGCTGAGGCAAGAATTATGTTTAGAAAACAAACCCCACTGTAAGACACAAGCTTTATCCAACAATGTCCTGGAACTGCCTCTGCTTGGCAGCTGGGGCCCAGATACAATCCAAGATAAAAAGTCCAGGGAGTGGAAAAATTTCAGTGGTGCCAGCAACCTTCCCCTTACCAGGCTCTATATTAATACCGCTGTATGGACAAACAGCAAGTCATCTAAAGCACAGGCTGTTTGTAATAAAAATATTAATTATAGTTTGGGACATTTTTCAAGTCTTAATGGAACAAATAGTGTCTGAGTCTACTCCCTCCTCATAGTTCAGTTTATAACACAGATTATAACTGTGTTAAAGTCAGTGTTGGTGGAGAAGAAGCAGCTCCCCTCCGGGTTGTACTGACTGCAGAGCTACCAGCGCCTACAGACTCCAGCAAGGAGCCGAGGGCAGTGCAGCAGCTTGTCGAAATGCAGCTCTTGAGCAGTCATACCAGCTTGCAAGAGTTATTGCAAAAGCAATGCATGATATACAGCTGTACTGGTGGGTGCCAAGCTGAACTGGAAGTCTGAACATGTGGCTGACATAGAAATTTTACCATCCTGTCACATGTTTTCTTTTTACTGACTGGCATATCAAAAACACATGATGTTAGTTCCCTAACAAAGTGTACATTTTTTTTTTCTAATTTGAATCAGTTTGTGAAAGTCAGAATACCCTGAGAGTCCTTATGAGGTTATGAATTGAATATAGACATAAACAGAGGTGCAAATTAGATCCTTTGTGCCAGACTTCTGCTTAGGGTCACTTCCAGCTGACCTACCTGCAACTGCTTATCGTGGCTTATGCACTAGAGACCAGAGGTTATGATAGCTATTTTATTCCTTGTGTGCTCTCATTGACAGCAATAGTTATAATTTGGATTCTTTTAACCCCAGTGGGCCCGCAAGGCTCAGGCATCCCCTTAGTGCTTTATTAATTGGCATGCTGTTCAGAAAAGTGAAATAAGGAAAGGGCAGCCCCCTCCACTAGTATCCTAACCCAGTTACCCAGAATGGCATAAACACTTTTAAATATGATCTGAATGAAAGCAGTGTAGATCTGGGGTAGATTTGGGTTGGAGAAGGATGCAATAAGAGAGCCCATACAATCCCATGGTGCTGGAATACTCCCTGTAATAGCTGATCCAGGAGGCCACAGTTAGATCAGCACTGGGGCTGCCCTAACTTGGTCGAGGACACTCTGTCTTCCCAGCATTTCTGCAAAGCACAGCACAAAAAGTGTCTGGCCCTGTAGTAGTTCTGGTTTGTGCTGAGCACAGAGCAACAAATAAGGATAGTAGATGGGAAGGCTAATGAGGACAGAGTGAATGTTAGGAACTAGACAGGTCACGCCTAGCTTGAACCTACCATGTTCAATGACTTCTTCTGGTTCACGAAATCGAACTCTTCTCTCTGCTTTACGCTTTTCCCCGGCTGCTTGGTCCACAGGTGGCCTTTTCCTTAGTATTGAAGGAGGACAGCTACTATTATCTGTCTATGGAGTTGATCAAAACACAAAATGTTGTCATTCAAACTGGAGTAATAGACCTAGGTAAAGTTTTGAACTTTTGTGATTTTATTTTTACCATGACTCTGGAAAGACATTATATGAAATATACCTGTCGTGATGTCTACAGTCAAATCACTGAAATATTTACAGCAAGGCAATATTGTCATAGTTCTTTAGTACTCTAAAGCTGCTTTCTTAGGAAAACTCTTTGTTAAAGTAAGGGCAAAAATGTGTCCAGAAAGGTTTTCTCTGCATTGGAGTGGACAAATACTGAAGATGGTTGCTTGGCAGATTGGGCTAGAAAAACGTAAATGTGATATGAAACATGATTTGTACTACTGAGTGCACTTTCCAAGCGTTCTCCTGAGCTGAGCAGCCGCATCCTGACTTATGATGTTATCATTTCAGCAGCTGACACTACACAGCAGTCTTGTGTTTGGACACTATTGTGATTCATGAGAGATGGTGATTCATTTGTACTTTGATATCCTAATTTTGTTGCTGTTTTGATTTTTGCTTGGAAGCAACACTCAGTCTTTGATTATGGAATCGCATTGCTGTGGATTCTGCCAAATGTCAAAAAGCAGAGCTGCAATTACAGTAACAAATCCCTCTTCCATGTAGGAATGCTCCCAGAGTTAAACCCTCAAAGTGAATTCAAAGCATCTCAGTTCAGAGACACCCACTGTCCTCAGAGAGTGAAGCAGCAGATGACAAGGTCTGTACTTTTCAAAGTCCTAAGTGGGAGGCAGAGATTCTCCACACTTTATTTTTACTTTAGAATCAAAATCATCTTCTCCAGTACTTCTTCCCCTCTTCTCTCCCTTCTGTTAAGTAAAAGGTGTTATTTCTTAGGCGATTTGCTCGTTCCTGTCACTTACTACCTCTGTTCATCAGTTTCTTCTTAGGTACCTCTTCCTCAGTCTTCCCTTGCCCTAACCCTCTTCTTTCAGAGGACTCCCTACATTCAGCCATTCCCACCAGCACTCCCTGGTCTGCAGAAAGGGGATTAAGATGCCTACAGTCTGGGGATGGCAGACCCCAGAGTGTGGAGAATGAGCAGGTTTCCCCAAGCAAACATCGCCTTCTGCCCTCCCTGATTAGCCCCTTGGCTGAACCCAAGCTCATCACACATCATCTGTGGAAGAGATATCACTGCTGGCTGGATCCAGAAGGGGATTTAGTGGGGACATTGCTGGGCAGATACAGCCTGCCAGGGCAATTTTAAGTTGGATGCCTGGGCTTCTTACGTGATTCATGAGAGAATTACATGCTTAAAAATGACATCCCCAGCTGCTGGCCTGTGAGCAGGAAGCCATATAACATAGCCAGTAACACCTGCCATGGAGTGAGGAGTGTCTTCAGACCTGATACCTTCTTCTGAGAGATTTAGAAGTCAAATTTTGGCCTAACTTAGCACTTAGGAGACATTTAAATACTCGTTGGTCAAAGAATGAAAGACTTTACAACCTGGTGTTTCAGTGTTCACTGGTGATGGAAGAGGTCTCCTCCTGTCCTTGCTTCCATGAATACTTAATATGCAATTAATTATTTATTGGAGCAGGCACTGGGAACAGGGTCTCTCATCTACCAGGTGAGTGCCCTGAGCACTCTCCTATAGCCATGCACATGCACACATTTTCTGGCCCGATGAATATTTAATTCTGTGTAAAGTGAAACAGTTTCAGGGAGACAGAGTGGAAGATGCCTAGCTCAGGCTAGCAATGGTTAGAGATTTTGCTGGCAGGGCTGGTTGGGTGGCACACAGAAGGAAATTGGACCTTATGTCTGAAGAGATTTGTAACTTCACAAGCTTTATCAAACATCAAGCAGCGCCACATCAGAAGGAAAAAAATGTCAGAACTGAGCTGATTGGGCAGCACATAACCAGGGTATACCTTAAGAATGAAGAAGTATTTGCAATATTTACCAGGCTTAACAACATGAAAATCAAAGCTACATTGTGTCAAAACAAAATGATGCATTTTCCCCTCAGACAGAAACCCCATGTTAGCATAGCTGGAGCCCTGGCAAGAGCTGGAATTCTACCAAAGTATTAGTAAGGAAATTATATACCCTTAAAATAATGCAGCTGTGAAATGCTCTGGGCACTGAACAGGACTACTCTATCACCCATTAAGAAATTACTTACCAGGAACTCCTCTGTGCTAGAGCTGGAAGATGGGGCTGGACATGACTGGGACATGCACTCTGGATGCCAACATCAAGCCTCCCACATGAAGCTTCGATTGGAAAGCGACTTGCTAGAGTAAATGGGAATGCCCAGGGAAGAGTGCCTGGAGACCCCTCTGGAGACCCCTGGAGAGAGCAGGCAGTGCCACAAAGCCGGTGGAAGCAGCAGCAAATGGCAGAGAGGAGTGGAGAGACGAGATTCCACCCCTCATAGCAGTGTTGGCTTGGGAAGGATGACGTTACTCGAAATGTACTCGGTAGTCAAAAATAGCATGTAGTGATAAAACTAGATATGCAGCAGGAAAGCAGGGCTTTCCTGGCAACTGGAAAGGGGTTGGAAAGGGCAATTCACAGATCACCACCTACAGATTTATATGCATAAATGAAAAGTCAAGGCCGCTCTTTTTCTAATGGTTGTTGCAGTTCCATAATCATCTTGGTTTCCTTACCAGAAACAATTCCCAATCTCAAAGATATTAAAAGTAACATTGCTTTTAATCCTTCTCCTGATGAAAATGTGGGCAAAAGCCATCAGGAAGTGATATAGATGCAGTGGGATCGCATATATCTCTCTCCAGTACAGTTATAGCTTCACTTTATATGTTTTACAAATTAGGTCCATTATTATAGTAATAAAGTGGGATTTTAACATTAGACATTTCTATGGATATTATAATAAGATTATTGATAGGCAAGAGAGATGATTTACTGTTCAAGAGGCTTTAACAACCTCTTGTCAAATGCTGAAGGCTGGTCATCATTAAATATACAATTTCCAGTCAAAAATACCTGTCATGATTGCTGAAATATGGTGGTTTACAGTCTCTACAAGCACAAGCTTTAGCTTTTTTTGTTTTTCTTTTCCTGAGGCTATTTATTTGCTGTGACATGGGTCTATGTTATTTGCCAGGTGGCTGGATGGGATCTCCCCTGGCAGGGCTGTGTGATTCCTCCATTCACGAGGAGGAATATTTTGCAGAGGGGGAGGGAAGACTTTAATGTCCTTCAGTGTTACACCTGTGCAAGGTCTTGGGCCATTCAGACTGGGACCCTCTTTTGACACTAATCCAATGGAGCAAGAGAGGTGAGATGCTTCCAGTGGTACAAGAAACCAGAGGTTAATCCAGATTTATTGTCCTCACTACTTTAATTTTCCCTTCAGTGGCTTAGGGAATAGTTGGGGAAGGTTGAGTTCCTGCTCTGGAGAGCACCAGTGGGCCAGGGCAGCAGGGGGACCCTTGCAGTAGGTGTGGGACCAGCAGCATCCAGGTGCCTTGCTGTCACCAATTGCAGCCTTTGCAACCAAGCTTCATGAGGCTGAGATCTTCAAGCATTCCTCTTTCCAGGAATGAAAGGAAGGTCAGTGTGGAAGAAGACACATTTTGATGTCCTGGAGCTCTCTACCAAAGGGACCATGTCTAAGAGCTATCTGAAGAGATTGGCCTTACCTTCTCTTGCCTGTGCATTGGGGTAATGGAGGGCTTTTCCTCATGCTGCAACCAGCTCACAGCTGCAGGCCTTGTAAAACTCCCCAACGCATCCTGCAAGCATTTCACAGCAGTTATTGGAGGAATACCTGAACCAAGCTTTTGCTAGGGAAATATCATTCTTTAATGTTTTGCTTATAGCGGATCTTAGGTAGTAAGGTGACAAAGCCTTCCAAATTCTAGTTTTACTCTTGTTTCTCCTTGATAATCGCTTGCCCCTAACCATTATAAAAAGGAATTTGTTAGTCTACTCTGGCCAATGAAACTGGTGCAAATGAAAAGATGGAAGTCTAAATCAATTGTTCATCTGTCTTTCCCTTTCTTTAGATGAAATGTGTCTTTTTACTGGGGTAATCCATCAAGGCACATGAAAAGGTCCTTTGTAATCTCCTTTAGACTTTCCTGTAGAAAGTTGCAGATATTTTTGTGAACTTTTGGACTTGAATAAGAAACTCAAGATCCTATCTTTTTCACTGACTCTGGTTTTACTTAATGAAAGGTTCATAGTTTTTCTAAGCAATTGGTCAGAAATTGTTTAGTTTTTTTTCTTTAGAAAAGTCCAAAGAAATGCTTTTTTTTTTTTTTTTCAATTTTCCAGAAAAGAAAGTTTGGAGACAATATTTGTCATTTTGAGTGACAGAAAAACAATTCTTTTTTGTTCTAAAGAATCCTCTTAGATGTGCACATTTTTCTGTTTATTTTGATTAAAAAATCATAGGGCAGCTTATAAATTTTTTCATGCAAACTTGCTATCTAAATGCTAGGAATGATCATTTAATAATGTCATTATCACTTTTTTTTCCATTCCATACTAATTAAATTGATAGTAATAGTTGTAAATGCTCGAATAATTAGTAGTTACCTGGGCACTCAAGTTGCAGTGGATAAAGGTTTCAGAAGTTCAAATCTCATAACAGGGACAGATCCATTCCTACTAAATGCTTTTGATCGCAGTTTAACAACCTAAAATTGGATATATGATAGGAATAAAACACAGCTTAATGCATGAAGAGAAAGATTTCAGGAGAATAACTGCAGTAGTCTTTTAAATCATTTGTAATGTGTGATTTGTACAATGTTGGGGTAATCTCCTTTAGAAGCTTTAAGAATTTTCTTCAAAATTACCCTCCTATTTAAAGTATTTTTTCATCTAAGCTTTGATCTAATTTTATGCAACGTGTCAGAACCGAAGCTGGACAAAGAATTCATAAATGAATTATTTAGCTTATGAATGTCACCTCTATTTCTTTTGGTTAATTGTTCACAAATAGATAGTGACTTCTGTGAACATAATCATTATTCAGATTTATTCAGTGGATAATTACTGGGAATAATTCTTTGTCTGTAGATTGCTTGGAAGCTTTTTTTTGAAAACATTCAACAGTAAAAATATATCCAGGCTTTCAATAGAAAACAAAATAAAAATATCTTTAACCATTGATAACATCCTTAAGCATGATCACTGCAGCCTTAATCAGCAAAGCCAATGTTCTGAGGGTGAACTTAACGGCTACTTCCTGTGTTACATAGCAGTAAAAGCAATGATATCTCAAATACCTGTGCAGTACTGACTTTGAACGGTACATTCACATTGTATATGCAAATAAGTTTTTGCATGAAAAGAGTTGCTTACGTGTTTGCTCAGCAGAAAAACAAAACAAGCCCGAGTGAAACGAGATTGACTTCCCAGTGAATAAATATGAACAGTCCACACAAAGGTACTAACTGCACAGCCCGTATTTTCCTGCAATACCCCAATGGAAGATGTCTAGGAAATAAACATAACATGATAAAACAATTTTATGCTCAGAGGATAGCTGTGTAACCATATGAACTCTTTTTCCATTTCCTTCTGCAGGAATAAATATTTTAGACAAGCAAAGCACTTTGTAAATGATGCCTTTGTGGGGATTCGTCTGGCCTGGTTCAATTATTTCGAAACCTAGCAATTTTCTCATATCATTGAATCTGGTTTTATTGCAAATAGGGTCATAGAAATAGTTACTCATTGCGATAATGGACTTAGTTTATCTTAACTATTAACACTTCCAGTAGGTTTACACACACGTATATATACAATATTTATGGATATGCACAGTGCATATATATTAATAATGAAGTAACTTTATCTCTGACAATCTGAAAACAAAATCACATAATACCATACAGTTCGAGGTGCAGTGGTAACTGGAAGCAGCATATCAGGATAACAGAACAGAAAAGGAATAAATAAATTAGAAGGGAGTCTTCCATATCTTCTTCAGCTTCCAGAGTGTCAACTGAGCCTTTATTCAATATTCCACCTTTCGTGGTTCTGTGTGCTCTTGATTAATAATTTAGAGATTCACCTTTTGGCAGCAAGGTAAGTTTTGTGTTTGCCAAGAGTGATTTTCCACCAGTCAGGCAATACATCAGAAAATAAAAAGGAGAATTGCTCCACATAGCATAATAAGACAAGTACCTTCTTCCTTTATTATTATTATATTTTTTGCCTCTGGAGAAATGGATTTGCTGTTGAAAGATGGGGAACACCCATGAGGTAACCTACAACACCTTTTGTCCTTCCCAGGCCTTTCAGAAAGGAAAACGTTGTATAAATCCCAAACAGAGGACAATAATTTGTCCTTTTGACTGTGTAGTTCCATGTGCGTTCCATAATCAGAATGGTCATGGTTAATCTCTCTTCTCATGGTTACTCTCAAATGGAAACATTTTTATGGAATTGAAAAAAAAAATGACAGTGAAGCATGATGGAGGCAAAACAGTGAGTGGTCAGGCATTTTGACAGCTCTGGATACTTCTGCGTAGCCAACTAGACTGAAAGCAATCAGTTTTCCTTTCCATATGTTCCTTAACTCCTGCAATGCCTAGAGACCCGCTGCATTCAACTCTGTTTGCTAAAGGGGAGGACAGTGTGCTCAGCACAAAACACAACATCTGCTCTTGCTACGGTGCTCCATGAAGGACCCACAAGGTTACCCTCCCTGAGAGCCCCCACTTTCCCCTTTACACATAGTAGCTGGCTTTGAAACTTTTCAGGATCACGTAGATATATAGGCTGCCCTGTGATGCAGGTAGGCAGACCTGGAGCCATTCATCCATGCATTGCAGGCTTGGATTGTCTCAGTTTGCAAATATTAAATTACATGTGGTAATATTGCATGCAGCCATCTGATTCAACACAGCAAGATTTATTTCTGAGGGCAGAGCCCAGGCTTTATTTCTGGATGTAGCAGGTACTTCTGAGTCATGATTCTTGTCCCGGCTCTGCGGCAGCAGTTTTGAATTCACGGTGTGCAGGGCTTTGTAGCCTTCTTTAAAACAAAGTCACAAACACCAAACAAAATATATAGCAAGATTTTGCATTGTGGTGAGAACATCCTCACTGCAGGACAGAGTGATCCTGCTTTCTTGGAACTTCCTAGAAATGATTTAATGCTTTGGAAGAACCTGGTCTCAATTCATCTCCAGCATGAATGCACTGACTTATAACAGGCATGGATTTGTCTCCGCTTCTTGAAATTGCCTCTCTTATTCATACGTCTTTCTGGATAGATATGA